AAAATATAAACAAAATTGGGAGAATGTTGTGTCATGACTTAAAAACATTATAAGTTACAATATTCAATGGGTAGTACTGACATCAAGTTAAACAGATAGGCACATTAAATTGGGAGTGTAATAATCTCTTGCATATGTAGCAAATTAAAACATTTGCATGCCATTGTTTGTTACAGTATTATCTAAARGAGCTACCATGAGAAAGCACACCAAATATTCCTTGAAATAAGTGGATGAGGCAATTTGTAATATAGAAACTAGAGAATATTTTTCATGTTAAAAAATCCATAAATTTTTGTGAAATCTATCATCAGGATAAATCTTCAGTATATTAGGTTAACTGAAATAAGTCCCTACCAAAAAGAAAAATATGGCAGAATTCTACTTATATAAGATGCCTAAAACAAAACAAAAACAAACAAAAACAAAAACTTTCTGAACAGAAATGAGAATGGCATTACTGAGGGGAGAAGATAGAAATGAGCCTTTGTTTACATAAGAATTTATGTATTGATTTTTGAGATGTAAACTTTCTACAGATATATTACATAAAAATTTGAATTAACATTACTGAACAATATACTTGATATGGTGGACAGCAAGTTTTGTTTTGTGGTTTTGATTAAAATTTCAAATAACACATAAAATATAAAAATAATTGCAAAATATTTTAAAGCTATCATTAAAATGCTATGATCTTTTTCTTATAAATAAGAATGAACTTATAAATATATAGATAAAGGACATGCATGTTATGAAGTTACTAGAAATTCTGAGGCAGAAATACTGTAATTTCAAGGCCATTATAAAAACTTAATAAGAACTGTTCTCCAAATATAAATATAAAGAAGCTGGGGATGTAGCTCATTTTTAGAGCACACCTGAATTTTATCCCTATTACATTAACATATAGAAAATTTACATTACTCTGTACATAGGGAGGATGAAAAACTAATACAGATAAAATATAAATGTCATTAAAAGGGAATAATATTTATGCAAGCAAGTAAAAGCACATGTAATTTTATTGGCAATAGAAACAAGGATCATGAATATCTTAATTTCAACTTACATTGTCCTAATTTGTGAAATAATGGAAATTGCCATCTAATCATAAAAAATGGATAAAATAAAGCAGAACCAAATTATGTGAGAAAATCTACTCCACAACATAAAACCTATTCAATAAAATGGAAGAAAAAGAAAATTTAACCAACAAAATTGTATATAACCACAGATATCCTATTTTACAAGCCCTTTTATGTAACTACATTTTGCAACTGTGACTACAGACCCCAAAAGAGCATTCATTGAAAACCTTGATTCACTTCACAGAAAATCCATTACAAGTATTTTAGAGCTCTAATAATAAAATTTTAATAAATACATATATGAATATTATTAGAGAGACTGCTTTATAATATTAGTTTATTACAATGGTTTGACCTAGAGTTCTCCAAAAATGTGCATCAATTTCCTAGAGACCCACAAATAATGGTATATCTTTTAGACCATGCTGATCCTCATAAGCTAAGGGGAGTTTTGGTGGTTAATTTGAATGTACTTGGTACATCACTGGAGAAAAAAGGAGACTTTAAAGAATTTGAAAGCATGATAAACATAGAGCACATGTGTTCAACGATAACAAGAGAAATAAACCTAAGCTTCTAAAAAAATATTTTCTGGTGGATAACTTTTCCATGAACATTTGAAGTTTGACGTCCTCCTTGACATTTGGGGCTCTCAATGTGTCCAATGCTATGTGTGGGCCACAATATTTTACATCACTGAATTCGTCTAAGTACCACTTGTGTAAAGTGAAGAATATATAACTAACCAAGAAAGGAAGAGATTAAAGACTCAAAGGAATATCATTAACACTTATCTGTACCAAACAATGCCTTTTTCTTGAAAGCACAAATCTAAAACTCATTCTTGCAGAGACGTTCCCAGAAGATATTCTGCAAGGGAAGAAAATTAAATAACAATAATTAAGAATTCTGAATGGAAGTTATACATACCCAGGAAGACCATGTTTCTGTAGTTCTCTAACATTACATCTCTATATAATTTTTGCTGAGCAGGCTGCAGGCATTCCCACTCCTCTTCAGTGAAATCAATGGCCACATCCCTGAATGTCAACAGTTCCTGAAACAAGAATAGGTAAATAAATAGCACATTGACCAAATGATAATCTACAGAGTTTGTGATCTAATTAAAGTTGAGATGAGAGTTTGTAAAAAGACTCTCATGTAAGTGATGACTTTAATTAAATTTATAAAGATACTTTTAAACACAGTGATACCATTATCTACCTCTGAAGAAAAAGTGACATAAGTCCAAAAAGAGTGTATATGTTCCACTTTTATGAAATAAAATATAAAAATTCAGGCATCAACACAAGAATATACATTTGTTATTTTATATCATAATCTAAGTTGTGTATATCTCTCAGATGAGAAAGTTATGATGATTAAGAAGGGGAATTCTCAATTTTAATTGCATAACCATGAATCAGAGATTTACTAAAATGCAGAATATGATTCAATAGTTCTGGGATGGAACTGAGTTTTCTGAATATGTAGCAACCTCTCTAGTGATTCCAATACCAGTGGTATAAGACAAACTTTTGAAATGCAATAAGGTAGAAAACTAAAGGAAATATTTACTTTAGTAAATATTGAATTTGAATTCAAATATTTTATGGTATTTATGTATATTATTAAAATAACAAATAGAAACAACAATCTTGTTTGAATATTTTTGTTTTTTAAATTTAAACTTATTTTTAATAATAAAATAAAAATTGTACATATTTATGCAATAAAAATTTTGGGATACATGTATATAATATGTGATGTTTCTAACAGCATAAAATTATCTCACTCTTCAAACAATTTCATGTTTTATTTAATTTTATTGGTTCTTCTTAGTTCTACACAACAGTAGAATCCATTGTGATGAAATTATACAAGCATGGGATATATTGTATTCTAATTAGGATCCTATTCTTGTGGGTGGGCATGATGATGGGAGAATATTGGGAGGGAGGATAGAGATAAAAGAAGGTAATGAGGATTGAAAGAGAGCAAATCAAATTGAACCTTGTATGATTTTGTCAAAATAAACACAATTAATATGTATAACTATAATGCTCTAAGAAAAAAATTCCTTTAAAAAWTTTTTTTTGTAGTGGTAAGAATTAAACCTGGGTTCTTGCACAAGCAAGGAAACTTCTCTACCATGGAGTCACATCTCCAGCACAAATGTATATTTCTAATCTTGATTATTTCTTTCTGTTAAATAATCTGATCTCACTCTTTCTTATATTTATTGTTTTATTGTTTTATACCATTATTATTGTTAAAATGATTTTTTCTCATATCTTAAGTAATATCCTATTATTATAATCATCATCATCATCATCATCATTATTATTCTTGTTATTATTAATTATCTTCAATACACATGCTAAGAATTCCATGTGGTCAACCACAATCTTGTACTATTTTACACATATGTCTTTTATAATTGCCTGTGTATCTAACTCAAAATCAAACCTTGTTTCCCTGATGATCAGTGTCATCAATCTCACCATGTATTCAGTACTCTGGACTTTATAGTCTCCTCAGTCTTGCAATGGCTCCAATCTACACTAGCACATAAGCCCTACTTTTGTATCTACCACACCTAGACACAAGACTGTGCTGGGAAAAACAAACAAAACCTACATCTGATATTCCTGTACTAATACAGAAGCAACTGTACAAAAGGGACAGTCACCTGCATGAGAAATGAGCCATATTGGCAATAAATAATAGAAAAATGAAACCTGACTAATAAGTAGAACATAAAGAAGATATCTAACATGTTATTTTTAGATTGTCCTTATGAATATTGTAGACATATGCTCATGACAAAAATCCAATTTAGATAGCTACCTGATCATTTTATTACCAACATCACTATTTCAAAATCCAACTCCCACAGGTTTTCCACAGTTTTATTCCAAGTTCACTATGATATTTGTAGGGATTCTGACTGTGGAAATATACAGGGAAGCATTCCTCTGGTGAGCAGACTCCTGGGGGATAACTGGCACCCTGTTTCCAACCCTTAGAATGCTCTGCAGTTACTCCCTGGAACTAGTCAGATAACTAATACATGTGCAATGCCTAGCTGCTATGATAATGTCCTTTATGAGGAGGCTCTGTGCTAGAGTCTATCAGCCTTGACCTTGATCTCAAGCACACACTTCCTAGAAATAAAGGATCTCTCTTGTTAGACACCACAATGTTTCACTGAGCCTAAAGCTGCCAACATAACAGTAACTTTTTACAATGGATTTTCTTGAGAGCTACACAAAGCTCATAACATTGCACATTGCAACTTATTATGTAACTGAGAGATAAGCTGCATAATGTTGCTAAGTCTGTAACCTGACTATGAACAATGTGTACTAATGAAGCCAATGACCTAAAGTAATCTATTGATATAAATAAAGCTGGCATCTAAGGTGAGCAGTTTTTGCTTTTGCCTCTGCACTTCGCTTCTGTATCCATTTGCCTTCCCTACAATCATATGAAACTGATTTAACACGACCATATCTACCTTTCAATTACAAAATCAGCCCTAATTTTAAAGAAAACAAATGGCTTGCATTCAATCATACTATAGATAAAATGGAAATAATAAGGATCTATAAGATATTTTGAGTAACAATAGCTGATCACACTTATGAGTAACAATAGCTGATCACACTTATTTTCACCTGCTCATGGAACTCTCTCCAAAATAAATCATATTTATGGCCACAAATAAAGTCCTACCAAATAGAGAAAAGTGGAATCAATGCCTTGTATCTTATCAGATAATTATAGCCTAAAATCCACAGCAAGAAAAATTAAGCTAGTATACAATCATATGGAGATTGAATCACACACTTTTGAGTGTATGTCATAAAAATCAGGAGATAAAAATCTTAGAATCAACCAACAGAAATACAATGTACCAAAATTTCTGGGATACTCTAAAGGCAGTTCTAAAAGGAAAATGCTGTTGTGTTCCTAAATAAAATACCAGAAAGATTCAAATCAAATAATTTACATATCAGTCTCCCAGTCTTATAACAACAACAACAACAACAACAAATTATTCCCCAAATGAGCACAAGAATATGAACCAGAGATGAAATTAATGAAATAAAGAATAAAAGAATATAAAGGATTGATGAAAAAAACTAGTCAATTCTTTGACACAATAAACAAAATAAATAAACCCTTAGACAAACAACTCAAAGAAAAGAGAAAACTCAAATTCATAAAATTAGAGATGAAAGAGCTCACATTATCACATAAACCAATGCAATTTAGAGGATTATCAGGGAATTATTTTGAAAACTCATATTCTAATAATTGGAAAATCTAAAAGAAATGGTTAAATTTCTAGGTACCTATGACCTACCCAAAATGAACAAAGTGGATATTGAAAACCTAAAATAACAATAAAAAGYAATGTAACTGAAGCACTAATACCAAGCCTTCCAACACAAAAACTTCTGGACAAGTGAATTCAATACTGAATTCCATCAGATAATYAGAAGAAATTAATACAATGCTTCTCAAGTTATTCCTTGATATAGAAAAATAAAAACCCTCCCAAATTTATTCTATGAAGCCAGTATCACCATGATATTAAAAACCAGCCAAAAGACCAGCACCTACATGATCCAAAATTTGGGAGGCCGAGGCAGGAGGATCACAAGTTCAAGACCAGCCTCAGTAACTTAGCAAGACCTTCTCTCAAATAAAATTAAAAGAACTGGGATTCTAGTTAGTGTTAGAATTGTCCTGGGTTCAATCCCCAGTACAATTTTTTTTTTTTAAGAGAGAGGAGAGAGAGAGAGAGAGAGAGAATTATTTTTTCATATTTATTTTTTAGTTTTCAGCAGACACAACATCTTTGTATGTGGTGCTGAGGATTGAACCCGGGCTGCACGCATGCCAGGAGAGTGCGATACCGCTTGAGCCACATCCCTAGCCCCGCCACTACTATTAAAAAAAAAAATCCAAATCCCAACAAGAACACTTCTCTGATGAAAGAAAACGACACACCAATATAATTAATGAACTTAGATAAAACCCCCTCAATATAGTAGCAATTCAAATGAAATTCAATAGCATGTTAAAAAGATCATACAACATGATAAAGTTGTTTTCATTACAGGAGTGCAACAAACACAATTCAAAAGAAATTCTTTATATGACAAACCTAAAGCCAACATCCTATTGAATAGGGAAGAGCTGAATGCATTTTTTCTAAAATGAGGAACAATAGAAGGATGTTCTGCCACTATTCCTATACAACAAATACTCAATTTTTAGTTGAAGCATTTGGCAAGAGACAGAAATAAAAGGGTTACAAAGAGGAAAGGAAGGAGTCAAATTGTCTGCAGATGATATAATTCTAAACTTAGAAAATACTAAAAGTTCCACCAGAAGATTCCTAGTGATGATAAACAAATTCAGCAATGTTGCATAATTAATAAATCAAGATATGAAAACCAATAGCTTTTGCCCACAATATGAATCTGTTGGGAAAAAAATGAGGAAACTTGTTTCATTCCAAATAACTAAAAAATTCTTAGTAATCCAGTTACAGGGCCGTATGCCTGTAATCCCAACTTGGAGGATCAGCAGTTCAAAGCCAGCCTCAGCAACTTAGCAAGGCCCTAAGCAACTCAGTGAGACCCTGTCTCTAAATAAAAAATATAAATAGGGCTAGGAATGTGGCTCAGTGGTTGAGTGTCCCTGAGTTCAATCCCTAGTACAAAAAAAAAAAAAAGTTTAGTAATAAGTCCAATAAGTCTAACCAAAGAAAGGAAAGATCTCTACAAGAAACATTAAAAAAAAAATTACTAAAAAACTTAAAGTCATCTACATATAAACTAAAGCCACATACATTAAATACATTAAATAAACTAAAGCCATCTGGAGATTAAATAAAGACATCAGATTAACTAAATCCACCTACAGAATCAATACAATCTTCATCAAAATACCCATATTATTCTATACCTAGAAAAAAACAATCCTAAAAATCACATGGAATAATAAAAGAACCAGAAAAGCAAGGAATTCTGTAAACTA